AGGGACCAAGCCCATGCTGAAAGAGTTAAAAGAAGATCTAGTTATACAATAATGCAGTACTTAAATGTTAGTTAAGCTTAGGACATACATGTATATCTGTTACCTTTTGTGACTTATTGTGGCTTTCAGGATGCTGAAAGTCAGACATGAGACTTCTTGGCTGAAAAGAAAAATTAATAAACCCTCTGAGACATCTATTCTTATGTTTAAAGCATTACTTATAGTATCAAAGCATTTTAGTCATATGTTTTTTTATAAATGCAGCTGTTTATATAAAGCAAGATCTATTATATCAGTAGAGGCTAAAGCACAGAAGTATAAAAGTATATATCACACATGAATAAACAAACAAAATGCAAAGTGTGAAATTCAAGTAGTAAAGAATGTGTTCTTGGAACCTCACCTGATACAAGACATCACACTTTGCTTACCAAGGATGGAGTATGACTTGTTGCAGTCCTCTTTCTTTATGGTCCTGGTTCCCAAAGTTGATGAAGGTTCTTTTGTTTCCAATGCTTTAGATACAAGTGATATCCCCATCTTGGAAATGATAAAACCCCTATCTGAACACATCTTTATGATTTGAGTGTATGAATATTTTGTGTCAGAAAGTGCTGTTACTTACCCTTTCCAAAAGTTATCAATTTTCAGTGGCATCACACCACTAATAACAAAATGCCAAATAAGGTAAAAATGTAATTTTGATACATGTCATTCCACCATCACTTTATATTGGCTGTAGTTGCACATGACTTGCTGATTCACATATTCAAAATTTTTTTATAGCAAATCTGGATGCAAGCCATTAATTTTGTCTTAATAAACTGTCAATTGTAAAAATATTTTACAAGACTTGTTTATTTTTTTAACAACTTGTTTAACCAATATACTCAGAAAGGTACCAATAAATGAAATTCCTGCTTGTAGAATGGCATCAAGAATGAACACTTACTGAAAGCAGTCCATTTTCACTATTAAAATCAGCTTCTTAAAGCAAGTCTCATATAATTACAGATGAAATCATTTTCCTACTTCTGTGCTTTAGCTATTACTAAAGGCTTCGTTCTTCAAGGAATTTTATTAAAATTTATATTGTTGTTACTATCTGTTGTTGTTCTTCAATGATCAGTAAAATAATTTAAATAAACACCACCCACTGCCAACTGTAGGGTTACTCTTTTACCAAAATAGTGAGATTGACTATCACCTTATATGCCCCCACAGCTGAAAGCATGTTCAGTGATGGGGATTCCAACCCGTGACCCTCAGATTGCGAGTCAAGCACCCTAACCACCAGACCATGCCAGATAAAATCTGACTGAAAAATTTATGAAGCATAAAAATAATAACTCTTCACTTTAAACATGGAAGATCTAACTGAAGCAGTATGGAGATATAAAAATGACAAAGTTTTTTAAACTGCATACAGTAGTTATTCACACTGAATAACTTTTAAATACAGACATGAGAATACTACCTTACTATCATGAGGCATGAAAGATTATAAAATACACATTAACAAAGTTATAAAAGATCAAACTGATAAAAGTAAAAATAATACGAGTTAAACCTATTTTCTTTCAGTGATAAACATTTCATTACAAGAAGTCTATTCACATAAGCAAAGCTAAATTATGGAATGTTTAAAGACTGGCAAATTACCATTGTCTATATTATACAAAAAAGAAAACAAAAAACCTACAGTAAAAACATACTGCATGAAGATTGATGAATACACACTATCTAACTGTAAATGCAAACACAATGTATGACTCATACAGAGTTATGTAATGAATTTGTCACAACTAGCACTTTTAAAACAATCCATCTTCCACACTGCTGTCATGAAAACCAAACGATCATTAAATATTAACTGACAACATAAATCAAATAATAATGCCTACACTAAACACTTTTGTATATCCAACATCATCCAAGAAATACAAGATCTGACTCTGAAATATTTATAAAGAGAGCTGCTTTAAACGATTCTGTACCCAAGATCCACAATATTTGCTGGTGAAGAAACAAACATACCAGTGACTAAAGTAATACCTACCTGTAACAAAGAGGATCTTCTTGTATCGAGAGAAGTTGATCCCAGTAAAGTAGAATCAAAACTGTGAACATCACTTTGGTTTGAAGTTAGAGATGGGACATATGTTCCTGTCTCACTTGTGGTCTTCAAAAAACAAAATAAAAGAATGAATTAGGACTTACTAGCATTTATACAATAAAGATAATTAATATATTCAACTATTCATATATTCAGCTAATTAACATTCATATAATTACTCATGCAGAAGTAAGATATTTCATGTTACATACTAGTTAGCAGACCTTTACCATAATACCAGTACAGAAACATGATGTACTTTTCCTGGCAAACATTTATTCTGTCAGCTGATGGTAGTTCAAGACATAAAAATTAATGGGGGGGAAGACTAGTACATGAAAAGCTACTTACGTTCTAGGAGGATTACTGAGATACACAGCTAAATGGAGTGTTTACCAGGTATTTCTGAGACAGATCGTTACCTCATAGTTTATTTTATTCAAATTAAAATATAAATATTGTTTTATTTTAAAATCTATTCAGAATAATTACACCATATTTATTGTTAGGAATAATATATTTACAATCTAATTCATTCATTCAACAAAATGAGACCCAACAACAGTTTATTACGTAAGTAATTTATAATGACTACTTACAACCCTTTAAAAAACGTTCTACGCAGTAATAAACTAGAAAAATACAGAAGTAGTCAAATTTAGTCTTTTGAATAATTAAATTAAAAATAAAGTTACATTATCCATTAAGAAGATTAAAATTAGACATGCAAGAATGAAATGAATGATGTTCTTTTGGAAATTTAATCCTTAGAGCACTGGTGGTGCATAAAATCAGATTTAGACATATTAATACAAAGCCGTTCGTAAACGATATTTAGTTATCAAAAAAATATTAAAATACTAAATTAATTACAAACAGCTTTTTTGGAAAACTACACAAATGAAATATAATAAGAATAAAAACAGTAACTTTTCTGTTACTTTTGAAAAGTCTCTATGCCAAAAAGACCATCCCTTTATATTCATAAGTGATTCCTAGATTCAACTTTTGTCTTCCATCATAAAAGAGGTAATTATTCTAGACCAAGTAAAGATTATCTACATTTTTCATATTCTGTCTAAACTGACATATACTTGTTTTATTTTTTCTTCAAATTTAATATCATAGCAGATTTAAATTAATAGCAAATGTTATAAAATTGATTGAGATTTTAGCCAAAAGAAGAAATCAAATGGCTTCCTAGTGTTTGCTTGCAGAGAACAGACCTGTCTATTTATTGACTTCTCATGTAAAGTACAACTATACATGAATTTGAAGACCTCACAAGTGTCTTAAAGTTCTTTTCATACTTATCAAAACTTATATAATTCTTAAGACTTGTGAATGTTACATTTCCCACACAGCTAGTAATTTTGTTTGAATACATACATGCATATGTACAAATATATATATATATAAATATTTAAGAAAGCTACAAAATTTTTTTATCAAAAGGATTACATCAAAATAAAGTTAGCACAAATTTTATACAGCATATTCCAGAGCAGAGAATGGGAACTATACTAATAATTTAGGTTGGGCTTAGTATAGTAATACCTTAACATTTTGGTATTTATGTCCGAACATCATATTGGGGTCTAGAATGCTAACTTCAAGGACAGTTTTGCTGTCTTCGCCAATGATGTATTGTATTCTAATTCTTTATTTCTTATTACTGTTTTTATTCATTTTGGTCTCACTTCTGCTGGTATCTCAGAAAACCAGAGCTCATTACATAATGACCCACCTTATGATTTGTGCCCCAGTGTTGGATCTTTGTTTTGTGACTGCAGTTTGTTTTTGTGTTTTTTCTCCATAAAATTACATATATGTCAGCATGACACACACGTATGTTTGCAATAAAAAAATATAGTCATTAGAAATAATGGAAAGAGATTCAAGATAGACACCTGCCAAGTGAAGTGACAAAACTTTTTTCGATTACACGTTATCCAACACTTATCTCTGTAATGGTCTTTAACTGCAATAGGATGAATGAAATGGCAAAGAAGAATCTTAAGACATTTCTTCAACCTTGCCCTCATTCTTTCAAGAGACTATGTTGGGCATAACATTGTGTGTAAATGCAAAATGATCACTGAAATATGCTAATATTTATTGAATATAAAACAATATATTTATAATACATTTTAAAACTTGTAATTATTTTGTGTATACAAAAAAGTACAAACTTTTCATATCAGTTGTAGAGAAATATGCTATCAACTATTATTTTGACTTCATTTGATTAAATATCGCATGATGCATTGGGAACCAAGCAGCTATTTCAAGTTTTTCTTAAGTTTTTGTTAACTGTTTATTCTCAGTCAGTCAGTGGTTTATCTAAAAATACAAGATCATGTATTCTATTACTTTAATTCTCTTTATATGGGCTTTGCCTTTTTAATGTAGAAAGTATATTTCACAAAATTTGGAAAGATTTTAGTAAACATTACAATTCTTTTATGCACAAAAATCAGATTTTTTAATTAAATATTTTTATTAAAGATTTGTTTGTGAATTTATGGAGTCAGAGTCTGACTCAGAGTTCAAGGTGATTTTTACATTAACATCAAAAATACTTTTTATTATCTGTATAATCTCTAGAACCTCCTAAATGAATATCAATTATTTTTCTTTAAGTAAATATTTATATTCTATGATATTATTTCTACCTTAACATTATACAGGATTTGTCCATTTGATCAACCTTGTAACCACTACAAAAAGTATGAAACAATTTATATTAAAATTTAATATATATTAACATTCTGATACCAAAAGGTTGTGGCACATGCATTTATACCTGTGCATTCAGAAGGTTAACAAGTACAAACAAAATTAATATCATTACTTTGATAAAACTAGTTTGCACACCTTTAGGTTTTAGATGCACTGTAAACAAAAACTTGAACTCTTGGATTTACAAAAAATTTTAAAGTTAGTATACGAAATGATTCACAGGATAAGTTTTACATTTCTAAACAAGATAATGTTTGCTTTACAAAACACAAAGAAAACTGTTAGAAATACAGATTAAAAGAACAGCTAAAAATTCCAATCTTTTGGCAGTAGTCTATAAAAGTTTATAATCTATAACCAAAGATACATCCATATGCATGTAGCTTATTGATGAAAATATACTTTTAATCATCGAAAACTGATATAAAATACAGAATAGTGCAGAAATAGTTATGCTGCTAGCTTTTATACTTATAACATACATGAAAAAAAATTGGGATTAATATACTCAACAAAAAAAAATTTAACTTTTCATAACATAGCAAACAGAATAATGAAATCCTAACGTAAAGTTTTTATAGATTTTTTTTAATACACTTGACTTTTTGGTGTTCAGAAATTTAAAGATTTAAAGTATACGCACAAAGCAAGTTTTTTAATTGCATATATAACAATTACTAAAGATATTTATGAATAAAACTTTAATTGATAACTATGTGATTTTAAAATTTTTGCTTCAAAAAGGATGAGCAGAATAAACAATTGAAATGCTGCATAATATGACTTAGTAGAAAACCTTCCAACATCAGATATATGAAAGGAAACAAACTAATGGCTAAGGTTTATGTTATAACTAACATGAACTTATCTACTATAGTCTATTATAAGCAAAAATTCTAAACACTAAATTTCCACAGATGATCCTTACTGTAACCATCAAGACAGAATCCAATTTATGCAAAACTTGCTTCAGGCGAGAATGTCTGTCTATTGCTGGATCAAACGTTATGCTTTTACGTATGGTGGAATTGTACGAGTTGCCACTGGTGACAATTGATTTTTCTCTTTCTATGGAAACAGACTGCTTCTTCGGACTGTCTGAAGTTTGTTGTCCTACTTGTTTAATAGCTGGACTAAGATGTCTAAAATCAGAAGTAAGCTTAGTTATTACAGGTGTAGAAGTCAATTGTGTTATTTCAGCTCTTGACACTTGTCCTTTTTCTGGACTAGCTGCTGGACTAGACGTTTCAGATTGAGAAGCATACATAGAATGTTTAGGTGTAGAAGACTTGGGTGTTATACCAACACCTAATAAGGCCTCTGTAAAATAGAGAGGTAGATACAGTATAACTACAACAAAAACAACAACATAATGGAAAATATTGCATCATATTTTTTATATTTTAAGTAATAAAAGCAAATTTTTATGTTTAAAAGAGACTCTTAAAAACTGTTAAGGATATGTGTTTTACAGGTTTTCCATAAAAAAATTTAGCTCAAATTTTAAGCCATTACATCTCTGAGACAACACCTAACCAAAAAACATGTGGGTAAATATAGTGGAAAGTAATTTTATATCCTATATAATGCCAATTTGAATTAATTCATTTGATAGAAGCTAATAAACAACAAGATAAAACATTGGCCATCATTTTGTAAATTACTTCAAATAGCTACTCTTAAGTAAGAAACAGTTCAGGTTTAAAAAGTTGGTACAAAGATGACTTAGTGATTATATTGGCAATCAAACATGATATTTCAACATTTTAAATTCTACTCTTGATAAGCTTTTTATTTAACCCTACAGTTACAGATCGACGTCATCACCTATTTTACACATATTTTTCCAAAATATTTATGCATCAAACTGCTTGTGGATCCCCGACATTGTTGATCACAGGGTTTTTAATATATATACAATTCACAGAAAAAAATGCACAAATTAATACCATAAATATTACAATTAATTACCCTAATTACTGCTGCGTGGTCTACGATGGGTCATTTTACCCAATTTTCTTTTTGTCAGTTCTTTACAATGGGTTTTGTAACAAATAAATCAGAAACCTGGACCCCACCAGTACTGAAGGATGTAAAAACAAGTCAGTAACTTAAGGATTAATAAACCATAAGATTATCTCTTCTTGTTCAATCCTTCCTTTTTCTTAGTCTATGCAACACAATTCAGCAAATTTATGTTGATAGATATGTATGGAGTGAAAAATAATAAAGAAAGACAACCTTTAATAACACTATCTAGAAAAAAACTAAATTAATTTCTTTCTCACCACAGTTCATGGAAACTTATAATTACTGACATTTGACACTAATACCATTAAGCAGGAATTGGACAGGTTTGTTGTACTCTGAAGGAAGTATCAAGTTCTTGTACTTTTCTTATAGTTCATAGGAACCTACAATTAGTGATACTGGACACTACTTCCATTTAGCAGGTATTGGAGAGGTTTATTGTACTCTGAAAGAAATATCCAGTGCTTATATCTTTCCTTCTAGATTTGAATAAAATTAAAGATAATCCATGAACTCACCTTTAGGACTGTATTTAAACACCAGAACAGGAGCCTCTTCTTCTGGTGCACACATGGCAAACATGTGTTCCAAAGGGTGATAGTCAACACATGTCACAGGCTGTTTATATGGAAGGTTTGTAAACACTGTCAACTTGTCTCCTAAGTGAAATAAAAAGATAACTGTTAATAATCTGTTAGTGTAAACACATATACATCTTGATTTATTGGTTTAACTATCTCTTTACATTTAAACCAGTCTCCTATGTGTCAAACAGAATACTGATTCCTGCTTTGACTTGTTACTGACAGTTTGTATGGATATCACATACTCTTACTGATATATTGGTTAGATCATTCTTTTAAACAATCTCTTAGATATCAACCATAAAGTTGGCTCCTGCTTTAACTTGTTACTGACAGTTTGCACAGAAGATCTAAGTAAACTGTTAGTTGTTTTCTGTAGAATAAAATAGATCTCAGCAAGCAAACTTATCAGTAGAAATGTGGGTTTTTTTCTAATAGAAAGTTGAAATAGTTTTTGTAAACTATTTTCTACCCCACGGTAAAATGTATCTTGACTTGAGACTGACAATTTCTTAACTTTCTTCCATGAAAATCATATTTTCAGCAGTAAGAAACAAAAATATACCAATTTACACTGAATCGAGGCTAAGTCTAAGTATGATCTGTGAATCCTTGTAACTTACAACCAAATACAGTACTCTTCTTTAGGCAATGACTAATATTTGTAGTCTAGTGCTGATATTTGATTGTATACTTTTACTACCTTAATTTTCAGTAGGAAATAACACAAAATAGGTTGGATGGCTAACAATGAGTTCAGGTTTAAATCTATGCATCATGAATATTTTTTGAAGCTTTTAATTATGTACACTGGTCATCACAGGAGGGTTGCAAAATTAAAATTTGGTAGTAATATTTTCATTAATAGGATACATTTTTATTAGTAAATGAAAACGTAAATCACACTGAATTAGGGTTTAAGTTTTTGTGTGATAATAACAGATATTAGGTAGGCAAACAATGAGCTATAAGCATAAGGAAAAGTTTTATTGATAGTGGAACATACTATATGTTTTAACAGAATGTTGGTCTGTCTTCTTCAGGTATGACCAGTACTAAGCAATCCAAGGTTTATATATTGTTACAAAGACTCTTTGGTTGGAGAAACTGGCGAGGATCTATGACTCGGGAATGTTTCTTAAATCCCTCCCACCAATCACTCCTCAGAAAGAATTTAAAGAAGCATGGGGAAAAACCTCAATAGGTATATCCCCAATGGCCTTTGAATTCAAGAGGAGTTCACTGTGTTTTGGTGTAGATGTTCCCACCAAGGTTTCCCCAGAACTTAGTTTTTTCACTGACATTGAAGAGACAACAAACCCCTCTAAGCCCTTCTGAAGAAAAAAGGGAGACATTTGTCCTAAAGGTTTGTCTGACAAAGAATGAATGATAAAAAAAAATGAGGTACAGATACAGAATGGGGTGGACAATGCTGTTCAGAGTTTTCCAAACATGGTTGCTGTCTTATCAACATGTTGTTGTTGTTTTTTTTTTTCGTCCCTTGTTGCAGGATCCATACAAAATAGGGAAACTTCAATGTCCACTGACCCCACTCACCATGGAAACCTGCAAGGGGACACAATACAATGCTAGAGCATAGCACTATAGAGATGGAAGGGTTTCATGGGCACTATACCCAGACATCAATATCAGAAACAATGTCCACAACACCCATTGAGAATGCCCAACACTGGTACTTGGTTGACCTTAGTCTAACAGGACCAGCCATATAACCCTGGGAGAGCCACCCCAAGGCCATCTGTCTATGGGAATTCAAGGCCAAAGAGGCGTGTTAAAGTGCCACTGACATAAACTAACCCATCAATGACATCCCTCAACCACCAGGATCCTCTCTCCCCTTCACAAGATGACACACACACAGAGCAAACATATGGGTGTATGTTCAGATCCCAGCGAAGATAAATTGAAGATACAGAACCTTCCCTGGGAGGACCCCTCACCATGTACAGGAATCCACTTTGAAGTGAAAGTTGATCGAAGAAGTGTAATTCATGCATTGAGAACATGCCTAAAAAATAATTTATTTATATATATATAT